AACTTTCCACTTCGGCCTATTGTATGTAGCATAGACTCTATCACCTACAACCTGGCTAAACACCTCAAAACCATTCTGGCTCCTTTGGTGGGTAACACCCACCATCACATAGAAAACACAAAAGAATTTGTAAATAAAATCAAACACCTCCAGTTTGACACAGATGAGACAATGGTCTCGTTTGATGTGACATCGCTTTTTACGTCGGTCCCTATTACAGAGGCGGTGGAGGCTGTAAGAGAAAGCCTACAGAAAGACGCCACACTAGGGGAGAGAACGAAACTAACAGCTGACCACATCTGTGAAATACTTGAAATGTGTCTTAACACCACGTATTTCCAATTTAGAGGCACCTTCTTTAGACAGATTCATGGCTGTGCGATGGGCTCCCCAGTCTCTCCGATAGTGGCCAATCTGTATATGGAGAAACTGGAGGAACAAGCCCTGGGCTCTTACCAAGGGACAGCGCCAAGCCATTGGTTTCGATATGTAGACGATACATGGGTTAAGTTAAAGAAACAGGAAGTGGAACCATTTTCAGCACACATTAACTCGGTGGACCCTTTTATAAATTTCACTCGCGAGGATGCTAAGGAGAGTGAACTCGCCTTTCTAGATTGTAAGGTCATCATACTGGAGAACGGACAATTAGAGACTGAGGTCTTCAGAAAGTCCACTCACACTGACCAGTACCTGGCCTTTGATTCAAATCATCCGCTACAACATAAACTCGGGGTCATTAGAACGCTTCAACACCGAGCCCACCAGGTCCCCACAAGCTCGGAGGGAAAGAACAGAGAAACCAAACATGTTCAGAGAGCACTTTCCAGATGTGGCTACCCCAAGTGGTCTTTTACTAAAGCCCAAAGGACGAGAAAGGCCAGAGACACAGTCCTACAGACAGAAGAAAGTAGGAGGAGAGGGGTGTCCTTACCGTATGTGGCGGGAGTTTCAGAGAAACTACAAAGAATCTTTAGGCAACACAAAATCCCTGTGTATTTCAAACCTTTCAACACGTTAAGACAGAAATTAGTGCATCCCAAAGACAAAACACCCAGACACAAACAGAGCAATGTGGTGTATTCAATTAAATGTAGTGAAGAGGAGTGCACTGACCACTATATTGGAGAAACCAAACAAACTCTACAGAAACGACTTTACCAACATCGTAGAGAAAACTCTAGTGGGCCACAGTCGGCTGTTCATCTCCACCTCAAGGCCTCCAACCACACGGTGGATGACACAGAGGTTAAAATTCTGGCTCGGGAGAAGAATTGGTTTGAGAGAGGGGTGAAAGAAGCCATTTTTGTGAGGAAACAAAAACCTTCTCTTAACAGAGGAGGAGGGTTAAGATTTGTTTTGCCTCGCATCTATGACGACATCCTAAAAACAACGCCCTAACTTGGGACAAGGTCAGTGACATGCTAATGAGTTAGGAGGGGTGAAACCTGCACTCCCCACGTGAGCATCCCAGCAGACAATAGGTCTGTGACATGCTAAGGAGTTAGGGTCGTTAGCCTCAGCAGGGTCGTTAGACCTGCTCCCTTCTACATCAAGCAGACCGTAGATTGTTTACGAGTTAGTATCAGGATTAGGGTGTGGCTTACCACACCCATAGGTTATAAATCTCCAACGCGCGGTCCGAGAATTCATTCCCTGAAGAAGTCCCCAGGTTGAGGACGAAACGTCGGGAAAACTTGCTAAGAAGTACAGATGATGGGTGAGAAACCTTCCTTTGCTTTGACTAATCCCTGTACGACTGAGGGCTTACACAAACTTATTGTACATCTTGGTTCTTTTATGTTACATTCCTCTTCCCCTAGGAGCTCAACGATAGGTTTATAACACTACTGCATTATATATCTGTAGAAAGTTACTTTCTCCAAGTATATATGGTGAATAAAAAAAAAGGATTAGGATTAAATCTTCTTAAATTCAATTATTATATATTAATTTCAGTCTAATAATTGAAGGGATTGTTAAACTTGGGGTAAACTGGTTAATCCTGGTTCAGGTTGAGCCCTGGCTCAGTCCTGGCTCAGTCCTGGCCATGGATCTATAATAATAACTGGACATACTAGCTTATAGCTGTCCCACCCATGGGCACAGGGGGCGCCCGTGGTACTGCAGACTAAATTCACGTGGGCTACCCAGAAATTTTCCCCATAGATCTCAATGTAAACTAAAACAGCTGACAAAGAACCTACAGCTTTCATAAAGATCGGATTTTGTGGGTATTTTAGAGTCCCTTGTCATCCTGAACTTTTTTTTTTTCTTAAATCATTCGGTTTTCTTTAAATCCTCACTTTACTGCCACAAACTCTGCTCCTTTCCTTCCTGCTCTGGCTCCGCTCTTCTGCTGCTCTGATTGGTCAGAGCGCGGCCGAGCCCCTCTGTGCAGGTGCATGAGAGCTACACACTCGTATTTGGCACAACGCATCATGGGAGCTCGTCCACTGCGTCCAAATGTAGGCGAGTTCTGCTAATATGTCAGCACCCGTGATGTCCCATGAGCTACTGAGCACAAGCTATCCATTTGAATAGGGCGCCATCTTGGATCACCGGAGCTTGGTCCTGGCTCAGTCCAGGCTCAGAACTGATTCACAGCAGCTCACAGCTTTACTAAACATGATGGAAGTGCATAATTCTTTCCAAAGTTTCAAACATGGCGCGTCGCCGCTCATCTCCGCTGATTGCGCACGAAGTTTACGCACATTGCGTGGTGTCTGCCTCTGTCTCAAACAGGACTCTGTGAAAACGGACTCTTTTTGAACTCTTTAAAGACCAAACCAGAGCTTAGACTCCATAGGCTGCATGTCTCTGTTCATACATCTACTTTGAGTTTGTTTTTCATTCTCTTCTTTTCTTTGGCGTTTATTGGCTGCACCTGACGGCTTGGAATGCCTTTTCACAATAGCGTTGACCAAAAACACCTAACGTTGACCAAAAACACATCTATCTTTCACACTTTCTGGGGTGCGCGAGGCTGCCCCTCCCCCACATACTCACCTTGGCGTGACAAGAGTGCAGCCTACAGCAGCAGGGCTCAATTATGACAATTCTTTTTAAGTTTATAGTATACATACATTGTTTTTTTTTCAATCTCAAGTGATGGGAAACACTTGGCAGAATAATTAAAAAAGTAAACTATTTTTTAAATTATTTTTATTTAAGACTGAAATTTTGCGCCCCATCCTGCAGATGGCGCCCCAGACAACCGCCCGGGTCGCCTATGCCCTGGGCCAGCCCAGCCATACATTGCACACTTTGACACCAATTTTCTTGGAACTTCCACAGAAAAAGTGAATGTTATTTTGCGCAGAGGGCATCACAGTTAACAAGTTTGTAGTAAAAATAGTCGCAATATATCATCGAATAAAAAAAAAAGAAAATAATCTGTAAAAGGGCATTTTGGCAGCTCATTCCCACTGCTTCCCTTTCCACTAATGCCAATCAGTCGTGCACTGGTATGAGCCAGGTACGTAGTATTATAGTCACAATCTCCACAATCTCCCGCAGTTTTATAAATGAAACCCTCTCCCTGTTTCTCTCACATTGCCTCCGCCCCCCTCGGCAGCAGGAAGAAGGATTAACCAATGGCCTTTAGTCAGTGACACCTGGACCTGCCTCTTGCTTTGCATACTCAACAAAGAAATACATTATGTATTTATGTATATATATCTTTTTTTAAATAAACGTGACAATTAATTGAACATTTATTTATATATTCATTTATTGACATATTTATTATTTTGGCAGTTTTGGTTCTCCTTACAAATTGGATCCAATTTTCTATAACAAGCTTAACATAAAGAATAATTCTCACAGTTTCTGCCTATCAACGTAGATCGTAGATTTGATTGATAAAAGGATTGTTCAATACACTGTGGTGCTGAATTTTGTGTCAATGCGCAAGGAGCATGTTACACTGAACAGCATATGCATTTACAAAATGCGTCCAAGACACGCTGTGACGCTTGGTGAAGATAGGGGGTTATGTGAATGATTTGTAACTACAGGCAGAATACAGATAACCTTAAATTCTACATTGATTGAAATTCACATCAACACTCGTTTATGTTAAGGTTAGAATTTGTTCACAACATAGAGTGCAGAGGAGAAAGAATATCCTCCAACTCTGTGGTGCAGATGCACTGCGTAGGAAGGCAGGGTCTTTTACTCAGGCTTCCAATAATATTGGTTAATTGCTGTATTGCTAGATAGTTCTCTCAACTTGCATCACGTGTAGGTATGGAAGAGTTTACAGCAGCATATATTGCTACTGACAGAATACAGTGTTCAGGCGCTCTCCCTCTCTTAATTGTCATTCCCTACTCACAGGCACATTGCGCTGTGCAGATTCCCCCGAGAGAGGTTTCCCCAGAATCTACGTAAAAGGATTCCTTCCCACGCCATGGTCTTAGGAACATCTCATTTTCATCCACCCGCGCACACACTCTGTACGCCCTCGCAGTGTCCTCGTGTCTCCCTGCTCACTGCAGACTCAATTTTTTCCCTTGTTACTTCTAAACTTCTCTGGGCTTCTCTCACTTCCTGCCCCCCCACGTCTTATAGATCCTCTGTGGGAGGCAGCATCTCCCTCTCTCTGCAGCGTGGGCCCTTACTCTGACAAATGACATGCTGGGCCCACCGGCTTTGCGTAGGGGGAGAAAAGCTTTAACTTAAGGAGGAGGAATGGATTTGATTGGCCAGAGGAACACAAGGGCTGTATCTTAGCAAACAGTATTTGATCGGGCTCAGGCAAGACGTGAGAAATGTAGACTTATGCAGTACTATATTACACCTACAGTATCTTTTGAGAAATAATGACCATGAGCCAGACTGCGCGCCATGGCTCCAGAGCTATAAAATGTGACAGTGAAATATCTGGGTGAACCATTAGCACAAACAATGTATAAACATATGTCTAGACAGCTCATAACAATCTTTAACTGGTGTTACTGTTGATGTTTTGCATCAGTACACAATACATCACTTACGGGTATTCCTCGGCTAAGTCTTTTGCCAAATTAATGGCTGAGGGATCTCTGTCTGCTGCTAGAACTGTGACTTCTGGAAGAGTCTTAAGAACCGCCTTTGAATGACCACCACCTCCAAATGTCATATCGAGGAAAATCTGAAAGACAAAGGCAGATTTCATATTATTGTGGTTATACTACCAGATCAATTTGGTAATATTTAAAATAGACGTAAAAATAGAATAGATACAAGACACAACAGATTCTGTAATGTTCCAAAAGCGCATTAAAAAAAGAAAGACACACATAACAATAGATCAAGCAGAAACAAGCGGCGGTAAATGACAAGTAAAGACAGAAAGAGATTACACATGATCCTTTAATATCTATTTGAATAAAAGCATTTTCTGTAAATTTGTTTTATTCTTACAATAAACCACACATAAAAGCCCACATGATGAGGCCATGGCCCGGGAAGGTTACCTGACAAATTTCAATTTTTTGGAGGCCGATTTATTTTAAGGCCACATCAAACACAGTGCTTTTTTTATTTGAGAACTTGAGGAAATTAGAAACATTCAGGGTAACAGCGTTGAAAAAGTTATGCTCAAATAATAATACCAGTGGAATGTCCCAACAATCATGCCACTCAAGATGGAGACTAGTGCTGTGCCCCAGAGATCCCATGCAGACATTATAATTTTTTGAGTGGTTACATGAAACTATCTATCCATCCATTCTCTTCCCCTTAATCCATTTCTAGGTCGGGGGGGTGTCAGTCAGAGCTGCACCCAGTACACAGAGCACCAGCCCCTCACTGATCCTCCTGCAGGTGGTGAGTTCACAGGAGCCTTAATCTTGCAGCAAGGGCTTCAGGCAAAGTGGGGTTAAGTGTCTTGCCCAAGGACAGAACGACAGCAGACATCAGTGGGAGTCGTGCAGTAGGTCTTGTGGTGGGCTCGGACCCACGACTTTCAGGCACAATAGCCGATGCTCTACCAACTGAGCCACTAACTATTTGACCCTAAATTATGTATTTAATTTGGAGGAAATAATATCTGGCTTGGTAAATGCTTGAAAACATCTAAAGACATCACCAAAAAAATTAAGTTTGGGTGGAAACAGGTATTCCAATGTGAAATAACCAAGCATACAGTACAACCAAAGTAGTTAAAAGTAGACTTTAAAGGTGCTATTGTAAGAATATTGTGGAAGGATAGCCTAAACCAGTGCTTCTCAATTATTATCTGCCAGGCACCACGCGCTCCCCCGAAATAGAGAGGGGGGCACCCACTATTAGAGAAGGACTGCTCCTACCTCCCACAGACTGTAACTCAGACAATGAGAGCGCCACCGCCAACTACTGTAGTGGATGTGCAATTACACTTTCTTCAAGTACGGCAAAAAAGCACGTAGCCCAGGGTCACGCCCGTCCACCCTGGGTTTGCACCAGGCCCACCAAGGAGGCCCCTAATATTGCTAGGTAATTTGACTATTAATTAGGTGTATGTAAAATACCAAAACACCCATCACCAATATGATGCTTATGATACTTACAGAACTGTAACAGTTTAAACATTGTCAGAGGAGAAGATTGTCTAACAAATTCAGGAAGATAGTTCCACATTTTAACTGAATGAATCTGAAATGCAACCTCCCCATGTATAGTTCTGACTCTGAGCACCAGCAAGAGGCCCGTCCCTGTGCTCCTCACAGTCCGAGTTGGTTCATATGGCAAAAACATGTTACTTTTGTACTTTGGTGCGACGCATTATATTATGTTTCATATTTTATATTTACTTTTTTAATGCATTGTGGCTATTTATTTAATGTGTTTTTTTTTTTTTATGTATATGTAGATTCTAAATTTTATGATTTGCTTGAGGGCCCCACCCTGGAGCCAGGCCTGGGGTCGGGGCTCGCGAGCGAGCGCCTGGTGGCCGGGCCTTAGCCCACGGGGCCCGGCCGGGCTCAGCCCGAAGGGATGACGTGGGCAGTCCCTCCTGTGGGCTCACCACCTGCAGAGGGGTCCGTGGTGGCGAGGTGCAGAGAGGACTGGGCAGCAGTCGAAGGCGGAGACCTCGACGACCCAGTCCACACACCCAACATCTGGCTCTTGGGACGTGGAACGTCACCTCACTGGGGGGGAAGGAGCCCGAGCTTGTGGGGGAGGTTGAGCGATACCGACTAGAGATAGTCGGCCTCACCTCCACACACAGCTTGGGCTCTGGAACCCAACTCCTTGAGAGGGGTTGGACGCTCCACTTTTCTGGTGTTTCCCGCGGGGAGAGGCGGCGAGCTGGGGTGGCCATACTCATTGCCCCCCATCTCAGCCGCCACGTGTTGGAGTTCTCCCCGGTGAATGAGAGGGTTGCGTCCCTCCGCCTCCGGGTGGGGGACAAGTCTCTCACTGTTGTGACGGCCTACGGGCCTAACGGTAGTGCAGAGTACCCGGCCTTCTTGGAGTCCTTGGGAGGGGTACTGGACAATGCACCGCCCGGGGACTCCGTTATTCTCCTGGGGGACTTCAACGCCCATGTGGGAAATGCCAGTGACACTTGGAGAGGGGTGATCGGGAAGAGCGGCCCCCCTGATCTGAACCCGAGCGGTGTTCAGTTGTTGGACTTCTGTGCCAGTCACGGCCTGTCCATCACGAACACCATGTTCGAGCACAAGGGTGTCCATCAGTGCACGTGACACCAGGACACCCTAGGCCGGAGGTCGATGATCGACTTTGTAGTCGTATCACCAGACCTTCGACCGCGTGTCTCAGACACTCGGGTGAAGAGAGGGGCGGAGCTGTCAACCGATCATCACCTGGTCGTGAGTTGGATCCGCTGGCAGGGCAGGAGGCCGGTCAGACCTGGCAGGCCCAAGCGTGTAGTGAGGGTTTGCTGGGAACGTCTTGGTGAGCCCCCTGTCAGACGGACTTTCAACTCACACCTCCGGGAGAGCTTCTCCCAGGTCCCGGCAGAGGAGGGGGACATCGAGTCCGAGTGGACCATGTTCTCTTCCTCTATCGCCAATGCGGCGGCTCGTAGCTGTGGTCGCAAGGTCTCTGGTGCTGGTCCCGGCGGCAACCCCCGAACCCGGTGGTGGACACCGGCAGTAAGGGATGCCGTCAGGCTGAAGAAGGAGTCCTATCGAGCAATGATGGTTCGTGGGACTCCTGAGGCAGCTGTCCAGTACCGGCAGGCCAAACGTGCCGCGGCCCGGGCTGTTGCAGAGGCAAAAACCCGGGACTGGGAGGAGTTCGGAGAGTCCATGGAGCATGACTATCGGTCGGCCTCGAAGAGGTTCTGGCAAACCGTCCGGCGCCTCAGGAGGGGGAAGCAGTTTTTTGCCAACACCGTGTATGGTGCGGGTGGAGGGCTGCTGACCTCGACTGGGGATATTGTCGGGTGGTGGAAGGAATACTTCGAGGTTCTCCTCAATCCCCCCGTCACGTCCTCCGTCCAGGAGGCAGAGGCTGAGGATGTTGGGGCGGATACTTCCATCTCCCTGGCCGAGGTCACCAAGGTGGTTGGCAGCCTCCATGGTGGCAAGGCGCCGGGAGTGGATGAGATCCGTCCTGACTATCTAAAGTCTCTGGATGTTGTAGGACTGTCTTGGCTGACACGTCTCTGCAACATCGCGTGGCGATCGGGGGCGGTGCCAATGGAGTGGCACACCGGGGTGGTGGTCCCTCTCTACAAGAAGGGGGACCGGAGGGTGTGTTCCAATTATCGTGGGATCACACTCCTCAGCCTCCCCGGTAAGGTCTACTCCAAGGTACTGGAGAGGAGGCTACGTCCGATGGTCGAATCTCGGATTCAGGAGGAGCAGTGTGGTTTTCGTCCCGGTCGCGGAACACTGGACCAGCTCTATACTTTCCATCGGATACTCGAGGGTTCATTGGAGTTCGCCCAACCTGTCCACATGTGCTTTGTGGATTTGGAGAAGGCGTTCGACCGTGTTCCCCGGGGTGTCCTTTGGGGGGTCCTCCGGGAGTACGGGGTCCGGGGTCCTCTGCTGAGGGCTGTTCGGTCCCTGTATGACCGGAGCCAGAGCTGTGTTCGCATTGCCGGCAGTAAGTCAGACCTGTTCCGGGGGTCCGGTTCGGGAACCACAGGATTTCATCTCTACTTTTTGCGGATGATGTCGTCCTGCTGGCTCCAACGAACCAGGACCTGCAACATGCACTGGGACGGTTTGCAGCCGAGTGTGAAGCGGCTGGGATGAGAATCAGCACCTCCAAATCCGAGGCCATGGTGCTCGACCGGAAAAAGGTGCCTTGCCCTCTCCAGGTGGGTGGAGAGGTCCTTCCTCAAGTGGAGGAGTTCAAGTATCTTGGGGTCTTGTTCACGAGTGAGGGGAGGATGGAGCGTGAGATTGACAGGCTGATCGGTGCAGCGTGCGCAGTGATGCGGTCTCTGTATCGGACCGTTGTGGTAAAGAGGGAGCTGAGCCGAAAGGCAAAGCTCTCAATTTACCGGTCAATCTTCGTTCCCTCCCTCACCTATGGTCATGAGCTGTGGGTAATGACCGAAAGAACGAGATCGCGGATACAAGCGGTCGAAATGAGCTTCCTCCGCAGAGTGGCTGGGCGCTCCCTTAGAGATAGGGTGAGGAGCTCGGTCACACGGGAGGAGCTCGGAGTAGAGCCGCTGCTTCTCCACGTCGAGAGGAACCAGTTGAGGTGGCTTGGGCATCTGTTCAGGATGCCTCCTGGACGCCTTCCTGGGGAGGTGTTCCGGGCACGTCCCACCGGGAGGAGGCCCCGGGGAAGACCCAGGACACGCTGGAGAGACTATGTCTCTCAGCTGGCCTGGGAACGCCTAGGGGTCCCCCCGGACGAGCTGGAGGAAGTGTGTGTGGATAGGGAAGTCTGGGCGTCTCTGCTTAGACTGCTGCCCCCGCGACCCGGCAACGGATAAAGCGGAAGAAAATGGATGGATGGATGGATGATTTGCTTGACATGATGGGTTGTGAGGCGCTTTACGTTGCCTTGTGTAGGAAAGGTGCTATACAAATAAAAATTGATTATGTTTTTAATCCTGACAACCTTTTATAAGGTGGTAAAAAGCTGCTGAGGTTACTGATTTGATGTGGCGTTTAAAATTTAAGTTCGAGTCCAGTATTACCCCTCAATTTCTGACCTGATCCGAAGGTTTTAGGG